GAACCACCTAACGCAGTGGTCGGCAAACTGTGTTTCTTCGGCCCCTCGAGTGTGGCTCTTCCACAAAATACCACGGCCTGGGCGAGTCTATGTTGAAGAAGTGGCGTTAGAAGAAGTTTAAGTTTAAAAAATGTGGCTCTCAAAAGAAATTTCCATCGTGGTACTGTTGATATTTGGCTCTGCTGACTAATGAGTTTGCTGACCACTGACCTAACAGATTGATTCTCCTGCCTCCACCCTTAATCCTTTATTCTCCCCTCAGCATTCAGAGGGAACCTGATGAGTCAGATCAGCAACTCAGGTCTTTCTGAAAACATTCCAACAGGTTCCTGTCTCAGCATAGAAGCCGGAGTCCTCCTCTACGGAGTGTCCCCCTCTGGTCCTCTCCTCCCGCAGGCCTTGCTCTCTGCATTAGTCACAGAGCCTTCCTATGCTTCCCAGGCAGAGCTAGGCAGCTTGGGCCTGTCAGAGGCTCCCTCCCTTTCTTTGTATCTGTCCTCACACACTACCTTTCGGGCCTCCCCCAGCTCTGCAGCCATTCCTAATGAACCCCTATTCCTTCCTTTCCTTTATTTCTCACCTTAGAACACATCACCCTCTGCCATACCATATCATCTTACTTATCTGTATATTGTCTGTCTGCTCACTTTAGAATGGAAGCTTGTGAAGTCAGGGCTTTTGTCTTCTTTTTACTGAGGCAGTCCCAGTGCTGGCACATAGAAGTTGTTCAATAAATATTGGTTGAGTAAATTAACTTAATAAATATACACAGGACAAACATAGTGTAAAGCTCTTAGAAATGCCTGAAATGCAATTTTATAATACATATTAGAGGTCTCAAGCACACACTCAGTAATTTCACTTCTAGAAACATATCAGTGAAGGATTTCCCAAGTGAATATAAAGAAGATGCTATTCCAGGGTAGGCACAGGTACATGGGAAACAAGTGAATAGTATAAAAAAATCTCTTCTAACCTAGACACTGGAGATCAGATAGCATTTATCATTATAAGGATGGTTTGTGCACTTCTTGTTATAAATATTACTAAACATTACTTATGAATCTTTTGGTTAAAAATATTTTTTTTAAATATGCCAAAAGACTTTTTTTTTTTTTACCTTGCCAGTTATGCTAAAAATGGACTACAGCCCTAACCGGTTTGGCTCAGTAGATAGAGGGTCAGCCTGTGGACTGAAGGGTCCCAGGTTCGATTCTTGTCAGGGCATGTACCTTGGTTGGGGGCACATCCCCAATGGGAGGTGTGCAGGAGGCAGCTGATAGATGTTCCTCTCTCATCGATGTTTCTAACTCTCTATCCCTCTCCCTTGCTCTCTGTAAGAAATCAATAAAATATCTTTTTTTTTTTTAAGTGGACTACATATCTCTATAATGTGAGAGCAATATAGTTCTTATTCTTTTTTTATTCTTAGTCTCACCCTACAAGATGTCTGGTACCCAGCAGTACTTGTCTTACTGATGTGATTGTTTTAAACTGGTGGATAGTGCAAAGAAAGTGAAAACGAACTCTGTGATCCCAGAAGTCAGAACCTGGGTGTGAGCTTGGGGAGTGGGTGCCAAGCAGGAAACACATGCAGGCAAACCTTTGTCCATGAGAACTCAGATAACAGGAACCTTGGGTGCCCGGAGCCTAACAGGTGCCCTCCTGTATTGAGTGGGTTTCACTCAGCACTCTGTTCTTCACAGGAAGCAGCAATGTTGCGATTCTGAGCATAAGCCTCTCATCGTCTCAGAATAAGCTTCTGTTTGCACTGCGCACACAAGGAGGCCTGCAGAACGAGACTGAGAAGGAAGCAGACCATCATGTGAATGTAGTGAAGAATCAGCAAGTCATCATTCTGACCTCACCCGCTGAGACGAGGGATGGATTTCTCTACTTCACTGAATGGTGAGATTAGGGAAGTTCATCTGGGTGACGAGTTGTTCTTTGAGACACCCCGTTCTCTTTTTACTAGCCACACCTGGAGGAGTCACTGGCCCGGCCCAGGAGCCCCTACCTGCCTACACCACCTTGTTTCTCCAGGAGGTCTTCAGTTTCGGTAAATGAGACAGCACTTGGTTTCCATTTCCTTTCTGAGAACTGCTAGTCAGTAGGGAAGGAAGTAGATATGTAGATATCTGGCCCAAGTCCTATCCTGTGGGGGAAGGGAGGGCTTGGGTGCTCTTGTGAGCACCAAGAGCACCAGCTTCTGCTTTTATGGGGCCTGGTTTCTGATGTTTGTCTCTTCTTCATGAATGTCAATCACAGTGGTGCCAGCAACCCAGCCAGCCCCCTTTCTGGGTTCATATGGTTGAGGGTGCAAGGACTTTCTTTGTCCAAACTTGACCACAACTCTGCTCAACATTCTTTTTTTTTTAGTATTTTTTAAAAAATTGATTTTAGAGAGGAAGGGAGAGGGAGAGAGAGAAATATCAATGATCAGAGAAAATCACTGGTTGGCTGCCTCCTGCACGTCCCACGCTGGGGATCAATGGATCCCACAACCTGGGCATATGCCCTGACCAGGACTTGAACCATGACCTACTGGTTTATAGATAGATACTCAAGGCTGCTCAACATTCTTTTCTTTTTAAAAAAAAAATATATTTCATTGATTTTTTTACAGAGAGGAAGGGAGAGGGATAGAGAGCTAGAAACATCGATGAGAGCGAAACATCGACCAGCTGCCTCTTGCACACTCCTTACTGGGGATGTACCCGCAACCAATGTATATGCCCTTGACCGGAATTGAACCTGGGACCTTTCAGTCCATAGACCGACGCTCTATCCACTGAGCCAAACGGTTTCAGCCTGCTCAAGATTCTTAATTGGTTCTCTACCTACTGTTCATCTTTTAAAGATCTTGTCAAACCTTTCTAAAAAAAAAAAAAAAAAAAAGCTTTGCCGCTGATGAAGAATATAACTTCGAGGAAAACCCAACTACAGCATCAAGTCCTGTAGACGGTCATGGTAGAATTGGGGCTTCTGATTCAGATTGGGAGTCTGTGGGAGCCCTGAGGTTGGATGTGGTTCATTAACGGACATGCTTCGTTATTCGTTTGATGTTGAAATCACGCTTTTACTATTATTTCACACCATTTTGAAGCATTACAACAAGTTCCTGAGCTGATAGGTCATGGGATGGCATGAAGGAAACGTAAAAGCACATGACTATTACTAAGTGAAGGAAGTCACTCTGAAAAAGTCAACATTTTGAAGACAATAAAAGATCAGCGGTTGCCAGAGGTTAGGGGAGAGGACAGGAGGATGAGGAGGCACATACATTTTTAGGGCAATGAAACGACTCTGTATGCTGTAATGCTGGATCTATCATTCATTACACATTTGTGCCAACGCCTAAGCTCTAAACACGAAGCATGAATCCTGAGGTAAACTATGGACTTTGGGTGATAACAATATGTTAATGTAGGCTCGATCTCCCACTGGAACACATGTACCTGTCTGGTGGGGGATGCTGGTAACGGGGAAGGCTATGAATGGGTGTGGGGAGAGAGCAGGTAGGAAGTCTTTTCCCTGACTCTGAATTTTGCTATGACCCTAAAATTGCTCTCCAAAATAGCCTATTTGAGAGAGAAGGAGAGAAAAAAAGCATAGAGAAGAAAAGCGAATGGGTGTAATCAGAGAGAGGAAGGGCAAGGGAAAAAGAAGAAGTTTGCAAAGGACCTGAGCACCTTCTCTATCTGCCTTTTAGAGAGGGAAGTGCAAGAGGAAATAATAATCTGTTATTATTTATGTCCCTGACTAGAGCAGGAGCAGGCCAGGAGGCCTGCGGAGGTCCTACGGGCTCACAAGCTGCTGGGGAGCCCACCCCGCTTTGGGGGTCTCCATTTAGAGGCGGTTAGAATGAGGGCGCAAGGGCTCTCCAAGTTCCTCTGATTCCCGACTGGCAGCTAAGGGCCACCCCTTCCCGGTTTTCTCCTTCCACCCCGACCAGCCATGCTGGCTAGAAGCTGCCCTTACAAGACAGGGTGCTGCTCTCCCTCCCTTCCCCCCAAAAGAAAAAGAAAAAAAAAATCCTGCACTCGCCCCCGTGACTGCGGATGGAAGGCATAAGTGGAGGCCAGAGCTCAGCTGAGAAAAAGGCCAGAAGAGCCTGAAGATTGACAGGAGGCAGGCCCTGAGGATTGATTGACAGGGAGGCAGGCCCTGAGGATTGATTGACAGGGAGGCAGGCCCTGAGGATTGATTGACAGGGAGGCAGGCCCTGAAGGCTGATTGACGGGGAGGCAGGCCCTGAGGACTGATTGACGGGGAGGCAGGCCCTGAAGGCTGATTGACGGGGAGGCAGGCCCTGAAGGCTGATTGACCGGGAGGCAGGCCCTGAAGGCTGATTGACAGGGAGGCAGGCCCTGAGGACTGATTGACAGGGAGGCAGGCCCTGAAGCCTGATTGACAGGGAGTGCCGGGCGCAGGCAGAAGGAAGACCAGGCCGTGCCTGGCGGCCGAGGCGCCGGCGGCGGAAGCGGCGGAAGGCCGGGGTTGCTGAGAGCCAATTGGCAGGCGGAGAGGGCGGGGCCCTCGTGCCGGGAGGGCGTGGTCTGTGGTGTGACGTCACAAGGGGCGGGCGGGGCGCCTCGGGGTCTCTGGCCGGCGCGGGCGCACTGGCAGTCGCTGTGGGGACCGGGTAGCAGCAGCGCGGCGTGCGCCCCTGGTTCGCGGTGACAGCCGGTCGGCTCCCGGCGCCCGGGACGCGTCGGGCGCGCGCCCCCGTGTATGTGAGCGCGGCTCGGGGCAGCGGCGTCCCCTCGCTGTTCTTTTTCTGCCTTCTCTCCCCGAAGCGGGCAGCGTGCACGCCTGCCTGCCCGCCGCCCCTTCGGGAGCGGGGTTGGTGTGCGGAGTGTGCGTCTTTTTTCCTTTCACATCCGTGAGCTTTTTTTTTTCGTGTTTTTTTTTTTTCCTTTTCTTTTTTTTTGCTTTTTTTCTTTAGGGCTCGTTGCCCTCGGCCCGGTCTCCCCGGGCCACGACTAGTTGCTTCCCGCCCCTCCTCGTGCCGCCCCCGCCCCAGGTCGCCCCTGCCCCTGCCCCGGGGGGGAAGCGGCCCCGCGCCCTCCCGCCCGCGCCTCCGCAGCCGCCCTGCACCCGCCTCAATATGAACGGGCTCAGCGACCCGCCTCTTTTTATAAAAGACATTAAGCCCGGACTGAAAAACTTAAATGTCGTCTTTATTGTCCTGGAGATAGGTAAGTGAGGGCCGCCGCCCGGCCCGCAGCCCTGTGGGCCCGCAGCCCTGAGCGTGGCGGGGCCGGAGGGACGGCTGCCGCGGGCTGCGGGCTCCCTTCCCCCTCCCTTTCCCTCCTCCCCTCCCCCGCCCACGTGGACCTGGCGGCGAGTCCCCTTGGGCTTGGACCCGGCGGCGAGCTCGGGTGCAGCGGGTCCGGAGCTGTTCCCCTGTAACCCGCCCCCTGGTTGTGCCCTCAGGACGCGTGACCAAAACCAAAGACGGCCACGAGGTGCGGTCCTGCAAAGTGGCCGACAAGACGGGCAGCATCACCATCTCCGTGTGGGACGAGATCGGCGGCCTCATCCAGCCCGGGGACATCATCCGGTTGACCCGCGGGTAGGTGTGCGGGGCGGGGTGGGGCGGGGGCCTCCCGGAGTGCAGGCTGGGGGCTCCCCACGGGCCGACGCCGGGCCCTGGACGAGCCCTCCAGCTCCACGTCAGTGCAGCGGCCCTCCTCGCTGGTCCTGGAGGAGGGTGGTAGGCAGGAGGATGCAGCAGCCTGGCCTTGCCTGGCCTTACCTGGCCCTGCCTAGCTTTGCCTGGCCTTGCCTGGCCTTACCTGGCCTTACCTGGCCTTGCCTGGCCTTACCTGGCCCTGCCTGGCTTTGCCTGGCCTTGCCTGGCCTTACCTGGCCTTGCCTGGACTCGAACCGCAGCCGGTTTCAGCCAGGAGCCTAGGCTTCCCTGCCCCCTGCCCTCCGACCTCAGGGCACAGGTTAGATCGATTTTTACATTCTGCTCTGGGATCACTGAGTCTAAAGTAGATGGAGAAGACTCGCATAGTCAATATTTCCTCTTTCTCATAAACTATTTAATATAGTTGTCAGGTGGGTATTTTCCCCCCTCCCTTTTTAATGACTGGTGAAATCCTGCCAGCATTTTTTATTTAGGGTGAAGTTGACAGTATCTGGAAGGCACGTTCTTGAATGTGATTGCTGGTGGCCAGCACTGTAAGATCAGTGTGGTACACAACATTAACCAATAAAGAAATTAACAACAACAACAAAAATATAGAATTTAAGTTAAAAAATAAAAATAATGACTAAATAAACCCAGAATGATACGCAGAGAACGTTCAGCAGAAAGACATCTGGGTCTTCATCCAGAAAAGTCAGAAGATGGGCTTTTAAAAGTCCTTTAGCGAGGCCTCTTTGTTCGATAGACTGACTTTAGAATTTTGCTAAATCTCTACAGGAAGGTGAAAGGCCAAAAAAGGGTCTTTAAAAAAGACTTTGGAAGCCCAGTCAATAGAATTGTGATGTATTAGTCCTAACTGTAGGAAGAGTGGGTGGGAATTGATGCTAGCCTAGTAAGGAGAAGCTCAGGAAAGAGTTGGATCAACTGAAGGTTCGGAGCCCTTTGATGCTGTATTACAGCCTCCCAGCTCAGGAAGTGAAGCTGAGTCTCCTCGGATAAGGAAGTGGGAGTCAGGGTTTAGACCTTGAATTCTCACACACTGACTCACGGTGACACTGTCTGTTACACATCCACATCCTTAACCTACACAAGAGCATTCCTGCCTGGGAGGGTGTGGTGAGGACTGGCATAATTAAAGTTGTTTTGGCTGCCAAAGCAACTCATCTAGTGATTTACAGTATTTTATACACTGTAAACAGCATCTCCCTCCAAATATTTCATACTTTTGTAGTCAGAGGAAGTGCATAGGTGTGTGCACCCAAAAAATGGGAAAAACCAAATTCAGTAGCTGTCTAGTACCTACAGGATTTTAAGGAATATGGTTACCAAGGAGTAATTCAAAATTCAAACTAAAACTATTACTACTATTGCCTAACTTCAGTGTGACATGGAAGTTATACCTCATCAACGAGCTCTTCTATAAGATGGGGATCATTACACCTTACTTTCTAACATAATACGGCCATTGCAAGGCCCTTAAATTCTGGTTGGATCTAAGAAAAGTGGCTTTTGAAGAAAGGTATACACTTAAATGAAGGTGATTTGAATATTGATATGCTTATCAGAAAACCCTGCAAATGTCCATCTCATTCCTGAAACAGTGAAATGTTTCAATTGCAACAACTTCACATTTTTTCTCAAAATATGCATTATTTTTTACTTAGTAAGGTGAAAGAGTGCACTGTCTTCTGAGTCACTTCTTATCCAACATACAATGGGTGAATGGTATCTTTAATAAGTGACCCATTCCTATTCATGAAGATAAATGTATAATGTGGAAGTAGCAAATTTTGATTACCTGTGTTAAAAGATGAACTATCACTATACGTAAGCAATATTTAATTACAACTTATTCTAAGTCATGAAGTTACCAGAGTAGTTGTACAAAAAACCACTGGAAACCAGACCTTAGACTGGTTTTTATAATATTGATTAATTTACAGTTGTTTTCTTAGATATATGTGTAGGGTTATTTTTATCTATTGATTTTGTCTGCATTCAAAATTGTTAAGAGTAAATAATTGTTCACCCAAGTTGGGACTAAAAATTGCAAATTTGAGAAGGTTGATGTGTGAAAGATTTGTGATCTTAGTTTTTTTTAATCCTGGATTAAATTTTACCAACTTGTTTTATAGCTTGGGGACCTTATGTGTTTTGTGGAAGTAATGGAAAAGCAATTATATCAATTTCTGGACTAGACCAAGTAAATGAGTATAAAGGAAAGCACGAGGGTGTTGATTTTACATTTATCCTGTGGTTAAAAGTAATTTCTGCTTGAATCTCTGCAATTTAAGTTCTTTTGTTAACTGACTAAAGATGTGATCCTTGGGGTATAACAGCGCTTCCTTTGCAAAAAGTCCTGTTTTTCAGAGTTATAGTTTAGATGATTATATGAGAATCTGGCAGTAGAATTTTCTTTGTGTTTTTCCTTAGTCTGTAGCAAGTTAAAATTTGGCTCATTAATTGCATTTGATTTGCTCTGGTAGACATATCCACATCCAATTCAAAAAATACGGTATAAAGACTTACCTGATGACACATTTCTACAGAACTGATGTTTCTTTTCTCCCTAGGTATGCATCCATGTGGAAAGGGTGTCTGACGCTTTATACTGGAAGAGGCGGAGAACTTCAGAAAATTGGGGAGTAAGTACATCTTGTGTGGTTGAAAAAAATTACACATTTCTCCTAAAATGACTGGTAGGTATAAACGGCAGACCTCTTCCTTGGCTTGTGTCTGACTGACACCCGTACGCCTCCAGAAGCCCGCCTGTAGGCATAGCTTCCCATGGAGGGGGTCCGTGGAACAGCTGTCCACGTGTGGGGTTGGGAATGAGTGTCTCCATTGTCATGAGTGCCCTGGGAAGTAGCTTCCCGTGTCCAGTGAACTGCCAGATAAGACACGAGGTGTGAGTTCTGGCCCCGAGTTCACATGTTCTTTCTCTCTGTGGGTGAAGATGTCCTCATGGGACAAGGCCTGGTGGCAGCGCCCCCTGAAGTGCTGTATTTGTCTACAGGCTAGGTGCCCCACAGGCACGTGGGCTTCCAGGCACTACTTGCTGCTTGGAAATCTCCGCCCTGACTTGGAGGAGCCATCCTCTCTGGGGGTGTAAAGGTAATGCGGCCCCCATGCTCGCCTGCACATGTGGGAGGTACTCATAAGCTGGGTGTAGGCACTACATCCAATCATGAGTCTGTTCTGCTAGGTCAGGGGTCGGCAAACTCATTAGTCAACAGAGCCAAATATCAACAGTATGACGATGGAAATTCCTTTGGAGAGCCACATTTTTTAAACTTAAACTCCTTCAAATGCCACTTCTTCAAAATAGACTCGCCCAGGCCGTGGTATTTTGTGGACGAGCCACACTCAAGGAGTCAAAGAGCCACATGTGGCTCACGAGCCACAGTTTGCCGACCACGTGCTAGGTTAATGCTTGAACATCTACTTCATTCCCACTAAGTCAGGATATTTGGAGAGAAGCAACAGTGGCACCCAACAAATAAAGATATAAATAAAGGAAAAATTCTCTTTCTAACTGCAGGGTTAAGATGCTTTGTGTGGAAAAATAATCTTGCCAGCTTTTTTCTTTTTAATATATTTTTATTGATTTCAGAGACAAAGGGAGAGGGGGAGAGAGATAGACACATCAAAGATGAGTGGGAAGCATTGACTGGCTGCCTGCTGCATGCCGAGTATTGGGGATCGAGCCCCCATTCCAGGCCTGTGTCATGTCCTGGAATTGAACCATGACCTCCTGGTTCAGGGGTCGATGCTCAACCACTGAGCCACACCAGCCAGGCTCTTGCCAGCCTTTAAAGATCAGAAACTGGTAACACTCTTTGAAGGAAAATTAGGATCCACTTATGGCTTATGTTTGCATTTAGAGTATTATTGGAGCCATGAAAGGGTTTCACATCAACATTACTGAGAGATGAGGCTCCTGTCCTGACTTTCCTGTATAGAGAAGTGCCTGTCATGGAGGTCAGTTGAGTGAAGAACCACTGGAGGCCACATGGTTCCTAGTGACTTAGCTTTGTTAGGGTCAGCCTAGCATTTACCAAAACTAATTCTCATTTCTTAATTTGTGGGGTGAAGGGCTTGTATATAATGTTCATATAGCCCACAGTGAGCTTACAGGATGGACTGTCACTCTGGTGTCTGTACTGATGCCTCAGCATCCACTCCTAACCTTGAGTGATTATCTTTGCAGGTTCACAGCGCGTGGTCCGCAGGGGACCAGATGAGAGTGTGGATGGGTCAGTGCTAACCCATCACCAGTGCTGGAGGGGACCCGCTCTGGAACCCTGAGTCATGTGGTTCCGTGGCCTCAGCCTGTTGGGGGACAGGACAGATGTCCTTGCTCTTTGCCAGGATTGGTTTTTGTGGCCCAGAAGAAGAACCAAAATGCAGAGTAGATTGCTCCATACATTGTAGGCAATCACATATTTGATGCTTTTATGGAACAGATGCATGGAGGACCATTTCTGTTAGAAGAGTTAGTTAGCAGGTTGCTTTTTAGTTTGTTTGTTTGATACCTAAATTCTCCCTTCCTGTCACTCACACAGAAAGGCTGATTATTTCAGAAGTCATTTTACTTTTGCTTTATTTTGTTTCAGGTTTTGTATGGTTTATTCAGAAGTGCCAAATTTCAGTGAACCCAATCCAGATTACCGAGGACAACCAAACAAAGGGGTAATTAAAGTCTACTTTTATGACAAGGCTGATTTTGACCATCTGCCATAATTCCATGGCGAGATTGCCAACCCTGTCATACCCAGAGTATAATGAAGACAGTCCAAAAAGTCATGGAAAGTCCTTTTTATTCTGTTGGCTTTGTGAGTCTGAATATGCTTCTGTAGTGTCATATATTTAAGTGCCTGTGCTAGCACAGGGGCGATCAGGCAGGCAGGGTTAGGCGCAGTATTACTTGTAAGCATTAATACCACTTGTAAGCATTAATACCATGTTTGGGGAGTGGGGAGTAATATCAGGAAGTACAATAAAATGAAAGGCTTGGGAAACACTTGAGTATTTTAACATTGAATGAACTTGGATAAATATATTAAAAATTTGTTTAAGAAAACCTGAGAAATTATAAAAGGGAATGGAAACAATGTTATAATAATGTAAAAGTATATTTTTTATTTTTAGTCTTCATTTGGTTAAATTAAAATATTTTTTTTAGGCACATAGTGAACAGAAGAATAATTCCATGAATGGTAATATGGGTACAGGTACATTTGGATCAATGGGTAAGATTTTTTTTTTCATAATTGTAATCAGGTGTAAGAATTCTAGAATATATATATTTTATGAAATCGTTAGAGGAAAAATTTGTCATTGGGCATAAATTAGTTCTAAAAGGGAACTACTGGTAACCAGGGAATTCCCAAATAGCTGATTTTCTAGAAAGCAGATACCCTTTAAACGAATTTATTGAGCTCATTCTGTATTGAAACATTTGGCCCAGTTCCTGGGAACAGTGGTGAACATTGGCTAATAATACAGAAGTCCGCGTTTCAGAGATGTGTCATTTCTGTAGCCTAGTGACTGACAGGTGCAGAGCTATTGGTTATTTTTATGCACTGAAAGCCTTTTATCTTCAGACTAATAACTCCATTTTTCAAATGCTGATCGCTGCCCCTTTAAAAGATTAGCCTTTACCCCTCAAATACCCTTAAATGTCATGCTCATGGTTTTTGGAAGTTTGCTCCTTAGGTAACTGAGGAGAAGTCTTTTGTGACCAGAGTTTATTTCGGGTGGCTGTTACTCTTTTGAACTGGTAGCTGATCACTGCACTTCTTTAAAAAGTTAGAATTACTTTCTCTTGGATCATTATTTGCCATATTTGAGTCCAGTGCCAGGACTCACATGCCACTTGCCCTTTTCTCTGTCTTCCCTTGTGGTGTAGGCAGTGTGTTATCTATGCTCTACCTACTCGACTCGTTTCTCATTCTGTTGCCCAAGTTGCTCTTTTTTTCCTCTCCCTGTTAGTATAGTATTAAGTCAGTATATTTCCAATAGTCACATCTATACTAATAAAAGGGTAACATGCTAATTAGACTGGATAGACTGGACATCCTCCTGGATGTCCTGAACAAAGCCAAGGTGGTAGGGCCGAAGCAGAGGCAGTTAGGGGCGATCAGGCTGGTAGGGGTAAGTGGGTAGGGGCAATCAGGTGGGCAGGGGAGAGTAGTTAGGGGTGATCAGACAGTCAGAAGGGTTACGCAATCAGGCAGGCAGGCAGGTGAGCTGTTAGGAGCCAGTGGTCCCAGATTGTGAGAGGGATGTCTGACTGCCGGTTTAGCCCCAATGATCCGGTCTAAACCGGCAGTTGGACATCCCTTGAGGGGACCCTCCTCTCCCCCATGCACGAATTTTTATGCACTGGCCTCTAGTGTTTGGATAAACCTAGAACTTAATGGAATTTTCCCCCAGGAGTTTAAAGGCATTTGTTTTTCCCAATGTTACTTGTAAGCATTAATACTATGTGTGAGACTGCAAATAGGTGCACTTCTGTAGATCAGTATCTGAAAATGGTGATGCATTTTTATATTCTTTTTTAGGAAATGGGGTTCAGCCCAGCGCAGAACCACGGGGATGCCAGTTTTCCTTTGCTGGTAGAAGCAATGGCCGGGGGCCTGGGAGCCAGCAGCCAGCTGGAGCAGCTGGTAATCAGACAGGCACGGCCACAATGAGTAATGGCAGGGACCCTCGGAGAGCCTTGAAAAGATGACCGATGCCAAATACCCACATGTAGTGTGTAAACTACGTGCCCTACTTGAACACGCACTGCACTTTTATTTATGGTTAACTGTGAAAACCGTTCTTTGTCGGTTCCCTTTTTATGTTTCTGGTTTGTTAACAAGAGTTGTTTGCTTTTATAGCAAGACTGTTAAGCTGCTTGAGTCTCCTGTGGAAGAAGGGGAACGCCTGAAAAGTAGGGGTGTTGATTTCTAGAGCCAAAATGTCTTTGGATAGCTTCAACAGCCTGCCCCACCTCCCCCCACCCGTGGGGGAGCTACTTAAGACATCAGCATTACCTGCCTCTCTGAGTCTATCTTTTGCGGACAGTTTGTAATATTTAAAATAAGGCTTAGTGGGAGCTGTTCTCTGTCTTAAAGTGATATTGCCAACTAAAGTGATAACCACCCAAAAAAAACCCCCACCAAAAACAATCAATACTAACTGATTTGTGAGTGTTTGTGACTCCTAGAATGACTGGCTTCTTCAACGAGTGACTGCTAATTAAGATTTTTTCCAAGGACTGAATCAACTCCTGTTTTATTACAAAAAAAATAAAATAAAAAAATTATCAGAATTATAGACCAGAATCAGATCTGTAGTCTAACAAGTGAGTTTTAGAAGAAAACGGTGTGCACTTCATTTTAGAGCAGTCCCGTTACTCTTAATCATCATCGTTGTGCATTATACTGAAGGAGGATTTTAAAACCATTTTTTTAAACTATTAACGTCAAATGTTAAAGTATAATTTGAAGGCGGCATAAGCCTAATAAGCATGGATCTGATTATTGTTAAAAATTATGGGAACCTCACGTAGTGAAGACAATGGAGTTGAATCCATGGAGAATCAGCCATCTCATGTTACAGGGCCCTGGGTATTTGAGAAACTCAGCCAGCCTAGGTGTGTGTGGTGTGTGCTGTGTGTATGGTCAGCGTTCCTGAACATGAATGACCAAGCCTTATCAGCAAAAGCTAGGAAATGGCTCTCCCCCAGAGGTGAAGACTGCTTTATTCAGACATGTACGAGTTTGCTTCTGTGCTGTAAAAGCTCGCCGGGCCCACTTCCCATTGTGGGGTGGGTAACTGGCCGAGTTTCCTTTGTTAGAATTCTACCTTTATTGTGTCTTGAATAAAAATGTGCATTCATGGTAACGGACCTCCTTCCTCTGCTCTTTCAGCGACTTGCAGCGAGAGCCAGCGCATGTGCCCGCCGTGGTCCTGGTGGCTTCACCCTGGGGACTGCCCGGCGCTGCTTGGCTGCTGTGTCTCTGTCCGCACTTCAAATCACAGAGAATTGAAGTCGACCTTGTTTTCTAAAAATTCCATGGTGTTTGAATATAAAGTCTGTGCCAGATCACTTCTTTGTTCTAGTTGAGTGTATGTAAACAGATAATTCCAGAAATGTTTGTTAGACAACTGTGAGGAGAGTTTGGGGTAGACGAAGTCATGAACCATCTCGAGGTGTTTACCTATATGGTGTGTAGCACTTGGGTAGCAGGTTTATGTATATACAGGAGGGGCCAAAGCAGGGTCACAGTTGTGAGTAGGCGAAACAGTTTATTATTGTGCTATTTCCCACATGAGCAACTGGAAGCCTACTTTTGCCCCACCCTGTACTGTAGAAAAGTTTTTGCTTTATGTATGATGATTACAGTTCATTGGGCTTTCTGATTGGTATTTGCGTAAGGTGTTCACAAGATTACAGAGATTGTGTGCAAATTAGTGTATCATTTTTTTCTTTTAAATCAAATAGTTATTTAAGAAGCAAGAGCACTGTTGTTTGTGGGAGAATAACGTGTGAAAGGCAGTTTTTAAGAGGAAGACAGACCTCAGCCGGTGCTGTTGTAATTGACACTTGTCGTAATGCTCTAACCTTGTTCTGTGCTTTGTGTCCTCTAGTAACAAGTTTCTTTTTTCTCAAGGGAAGCCTCTCAAACGCAAACACGGGGAGTGTCCGTCCGTCACGAACGCTCGCCTTGCCATCTGCCTGGACGCGCTCCGCACGAAGAGGAAGAAGGTCTCCCGCCTTCCCCTTCCTGGCGCTGGGCTTGCAGCTCACTTTCCAACAAGTTTAAACACCTCCTGAGCACAAACACCCCTCCGTACTGCACAAACACGCTCCTGGGGTATTCCCATTTCATTCCCACAAAACGCATCTGAAGGGGCTGCGGTCCTGGCCCCACTGGCTGCCTGGGCTGGCCAGCCTCTGGAGTTGCTGGGGCACCAGAGGAAGAAGGTGGACCCCAGGCCCGGGACGTGCCCTGGGGCCTGTGGATCCCAACAAGTGCCCCTCAGTGCCCGCTCAGCTCTGCCCCTGTAGCTCCAGGAATTCCACTTTGCATGTGAGGACAGCTCAACTTGAAGGCACCCTGAATGTTTGTAATATTATTTGTTGCTTGTATTTTTATCATGTAACTTTTTAAAAAAAATACATTTTTATTGACTTCAGAGAGAAAGGGGGAGAGGGATAGAGATAGAAACATCAATGATGAGAGAGATTTGTTGGTTGGCTGCCTCTACATGTCTCCTACTGGCGATCGAGCCCAAAACCCAGGCATGTGCACTTGACTGGAATCGACCCTTCAGTCTGCAGGCTGATGCCCTATCCACTGAGTCATACCAGCTAGGGCTATCGTGTAACATTTTAGAAGAATGCTTAATTTGCTTGGTTGAGTAATGATGCCAAGGGAATGATGGCTGGAAACAACTAGATGTGAGGTTACTATAAAAAAATTATAATTTTTTTATATGAGCGTTTCAAGTGTAAGAAGGTTAACTGGCCCTAAATTGTGTCTCTAGAACAGTGGTTGGCAAACTGCGGCCTACGAGCCGCAGTTTGTGGCTCTGTTGACTGAGTTTGCCGACCACTGTCCTAGATTCTAATGATTACAGGCAGTTGTTCCTTGTGATTAAGCCTCTATGTAGAGTCTTACATCAATGGAAGGCACAGGCAGTTGTTGACATTGAGAGAGATCTGATGTCCCAATGACTGAAATACCTGTTCTGGCCTCAGTAAGGTAATGACTGCTCCACACAGTTGGGTAATTCCTTAGTTTCTTGAAAGTATTCGGAAAGGTTCCAGAGACACCAAACCTGAACACCATGTGGAAACAACGTGGATCACTTACCCCTGCTTTTTAATCTTCCCTCTGGGCTCACTCCTGGGTTACCTGCCCTGTGATGGACTTTGTTTTTTAAACCTGTTTTTCCTGCTCTTCATCTCCCCTATTGAGAGAGCATGCACATTTCTAGTAGAAAAGGGGGTCACAGTTTCCCCCACATGGGCCCTGTGGTGGTTAAAGGCAGAACTTGGCAGTGATGCATCTATGTATTGTCTCCTACATGTTGGGGTGAACTGCCCCCCACCTCACACAGTTTGTAATGTTAAGGTTTGCTTCTGAGAAATTCTGACATTAGCACTATCCTGATAGGCCCTGAGGGGGAAGCTAGGGAAATAACTCACCTTTTAGGCAGAGCCAGCTTTCCTCCAAAGTCATTCCCCCCACTTAGCATCATTGGGAATGCACCGGAGTTTTATTCAAATACTGGACCTAAGTCATGTCAGGGTTCAGAGCTAAAGGCCTGACAATGGTTTTTCAGAGCCCAGATCACAGAAGAAGGAACAGAACAGAATGCAGGCCACACCACCTGTCGAGCTGCTTGCTTCACATGATTTCTCACTAAGAATAGGCTGTACACATGTGACTGAAAGGAAATGCAAATTTTACCAAGTTTGACTAGCAGATGTTTCATTTCCGTCTTGAGAGACTGGCCATTTCATTGTGGCTCCCTGGGTGGCAGCTGTTGGAGGATAGAGCCCAGGTGTCGGGAGGACCCTCGGACACCACAGCCCTCACCACACTTGTCCAATGCAACCTCTACCAAAGGGCTGTTGACATGTCTTATTTTTTAAATATATTTTTATTGATTTCAGAGAGGGAAGGAGAAAGAAACATCAATGATGAGAGAATCGTTGATTAGCTGGCTCCCATACATCCCCTACTAGGGACAGCTTGCAACACAGGCCTGTGCCCTGACTGGGAATTGAACCCAGGTCCCTTCAGTCCGCAGGCTGGTGCTCTATCCACTGAGCCAAACCAGCCAGGGTGTGTTACCATGTCTTTAGAAACCAGTTATTGATCCACTTCCCACATACATTCAGGTGGTTTTACTCCATCAAAGTGCATGTTTCTGGACAGTCAGGCCAGTTATCTTGGTCTGTACGTTGACTGTTGAGTGCAAAGAGCAGTTCCACCTCCACGAGGTTCCCGGGAGCTCCTTAGAGATGTGGGATGTTCTTAGCTATCTGGGGGAGGAGTTCAGGGTGGGTCTGGGAGAGCCGTCCTCAAGACTGGAGAGCCTTGTCTCCCGCCCTGGGCGCCTCCCTAAGCCCGGGAATGACCTTGCTTTGGGGGCACACATGGAGCTCCTCAGCTTCTGTTGGGGCTAGGACATCCCCGAGTTCCAGATGGTAAAGGGTGAGACGCCTCCCATGGGCAGAGCTGCGGGCAGCGAGGGGGTCCCCCCCAGTGTGACCGAGCACAGCCCGGACGGGAGTGTGTGTGTGAATTCGGCACAGCATGCTTTGAGATCAGGTTTGAGATCATGAGAATAGCTTTGAGATCAGGTTGTAGTGGAGCCTCCCTGGCTTCATCTGGGCCTACACAGATCAAAGGAAACAGTTTCCCTGAGGTTTCCGTTAACTTTTTTTTTTTTTTAATGGTTTTTCTTACGGCTTGTCCCGGCAAATGTATTTGCAGCACTGCCTACCTTCACCTGCGCCCTCCCCCTGCCCTTGGCCCTGCCTCATTGCTGAGCTGCTGGCCATGGTGAGGAGCAAGGCGCTGGCTCCAAGAGCTGCTTGTGCCTGTCTGGCTCTCCCCTCCAGGCGTGACACCTTTATCCCCCCCCAAAGCGCCAAGCATCCTTTTGCCTCTGTAACTTGCCTCTGTAGCTCCCTCCTGTGTGTGTGGGGGGGGGGAGGGGGCAGGATGGGGGGGGGAGGGTACTTGGGTTGGAGGTAAACATTCCTGGGAAGCTGCCTCTTATGGACCCTCATGTTCTGTAGGAGGGGCAGCTGCACAGTAGTAAAGGGCAGGCACGATGGGACTCCAGTTGGGGCGAGGTGGTTTAAGCATAAGTGGGGGGTCCAGAGGCCTCTGGCCTCAGTTGCTAGGTGGTTCAGATGGAAAGCCATACCCCTGGCAGCCAGCACAGCTAGGGCCTCAGGGGATGGCCACACAGTTGGAGCCCTGGGCCTTCTCTTCCCTGAGTGGGGGGAGAGGGGAAGGGAAGCCCGCAGCTTCAAGGCTGTGGGCGCCAATGGCCGCAGGCACTTCCTCCCCCCGCAGGGCCAGTCAGTGCCCAGCTTCCTCCCAGGGGCAGTGGGAAGAAGAGATAGGCGCTGGC